CTAATATGTAAGTATTACTAATTAGATGGGCCTGCTTTGCCGTGAGTCTAATTAGCCGTGGATCCTAAAGATAAACATTCATGGCGCTTGCTCAGTCCATGGCATCATCAGAAGAACTCAGTTAGATTTCATTATTAGTTGATAGTTTGTCCAACGATTTGCTACGAATCGGCTGGCTGGTATCACGCCAAACCTGCGGCTGAGGGACCGCATCGCCGACTGGACCCCTACCACAGTATGGGGCCATCGATAAGCCATTATGGGCGCTTATTAGTAAATCCAGGATGCGGATCCCCTTCTGTTGCTGTAAGAGTAGACTAAACACTGAAGACAGACTTAGTTATAACAACTGCGCCGAGTACATCCAGTGGGTCTAGAGCTCTGACCAATTGGCATACACCATCCCAGTTCATAGACCATGATGGCGAACACTTGGGGACCCCAGATTGCCTAACCATCCCGTAACCTACGCAAATCCTAACAATACCGAAGAAACATTCAAGAGGTATGCTCAGACCCAGCACCCTAACGGATATGCCGACACGCCGCGATTTCATTCCGGCTGAAGTGAAATGCCTTGTTTCAGTTCCTCCCGCTTTGCTAAGATAAACGATTTGCCGTCCCTTGGGCATATCGTTATCACCTGGTTATAACACGGGAATGAGGGTCAAAATGTAATTCCGGCTATTACGTCAAGGCGGCCGGGGAGCCAGAACCCATATTCCCTAATCAGCTTACACTGGGCGCGCCGGCGGATTGTAACTCCTGCCAGTCAAGTGTGATAGGCCGGCAAGTTCTACTAATATGACTATTTCATAAATTGCTCGAGCATAAGGCCTCTCGGAAGCGTCGCTAGACTTACCATAGTCGAACCGCACCCATTCTCGCGTAAAGGAGGCTGTAAAAAGGCTGGACCCAGTGCAAGTATTCTGATTAAACAGCGGTGTCGCATCCTATACTTTGGCAACCGGTTCTATAAACGCGAGAATATTATGGGGTGAGGAAGTTCAATACCATGTCCTACGGCGATTAGAGCGACATTTAATTATCATTCCAGCGGCGTTGGCCTCTCGAATGCCCCAACTTTAGAAGATAGCTGCAGGTATTGCGTGTTCCGGTTCAGGAATCGACGGATGGGGTCAGATCAGCTGCCGCCCTAACACGAATTCAGGCAGTGAAGTGAAACGGAGTCGCTGAACCAAAAAACATTGAGACCACCATGTTACGAGCCGGCGCACTATGCCGTATACCCGAGTGGATGAACACGGCTTAATAAATCTTTTAATAATAAGCACGCGGTGAGTCAGCTTGGCATACTGCGAGAGTCCTGTAGTGCGCAAGTAGCTCTAATACTCAATTCCGCCTACGTAAGACCTATCGGCTTTCGCAATAGTCGCTTAGCCTACTATATACCGTCAAGAAGCGTTACCCAAATCAATGAGATGTAAGCAAATATCGACGAACCATCCTCTGCAAAGGAGAGCCGTTCCCGGTTTGGGTGTTCGAGTTCTCCATGACCCGATCACGTACAGCCTATAAATCTGACCCAACCATTTGAATTAAACGTATAGTGCATAACTACTACAGTGATTCGATAAAGTATCAGTGAGAAACGACATCCGCGTGACTAAATACCATTTCCCGCATGCGTTACCCACCTAGTTTCTACCCTATTAGCCATAGAAAAGTCTTTAGTCGCTATTAGTTGCAACCTGGATCCCATTACTACACGTTCAGAAGCGGCACGGTCCTGCGACATTCAGCAGCGACTCGATACCCGATAGGGATGTATGAAGAGTTGAAGCTGAATTACTATACTTTAGCTCGAGCCACCGTGGAGATCTGAAATGGGTGAGGGGGTCTATTACGGCCCCTGGCATTGATACACATTACCTTCATGTGCCGGGATGACGATTTTTGTGTGGGCCTCTTCGTATGATAGTTGTACAAGTTCAATACTATGCCCCTACCTTACTCGTTTAAAGCCCCTTATTAACAGAACTTAAACAACCATTAAGCCCTACGCACCACCGGAGCCGATCCCCCCCAATGGGATCTGAGGTAGGTCTAGCCGATGTGGAGTCTTCGGAGTCCCGGACTCAGCGATCCCAATGGCTCCCTGCTCGCTCAATAGCGAGGCTGTGCTCTTGATATCGGTGGGTGTCCGCACCGATCTAAATGTTGCCGTGTTAAGATAGACTGAACTGACACCCGACGCCAGGACGTGGGTTACTCCTCATGCTTGGTCGAGAACGCGACTCCACATATCATCTGGTGAGAGCGCAATTGTATAGCAAGCTAGAATGATCCCCGCTTGTCTTGAGCCTAAAAACGGAAGGATTAGTTACCCTACGGTCTGCTAATTAGGGTTGGGGCTACGCAAACGTTACCTTCAATGAAATCTTGACTTCTTACCTAAGTCCGTCTTTAGAACGTGGTGATCTAGTAACAACCCTTCCTAATCGCTTTCGGCAAGTATTGTTGCCAATTTATCAACGGATCCCACGAGGGACTCCGTATTCATGTAGTGGAAGAGGGCCGTTGACGTGGGAAGGGTAATCCTATGTTAAAGACAATTCTATATTCCGCAGTGAGCTGTGGAAATCGTCCCTGGATCGGGACCAATAGACAACGGATCTCAGGGTATTACTTGCGTCCACAGACTGTTCGTGAGTATATCATTACGGGTAATAGGAATCAAGCCGGGGTGATATGTAGTGAAGCTCGCCCCTCTACATGGCTCGGAATTGTAATTCCTATCGATCAAACCGCTGAACAGAATATACCGACATACTAAGCCCGTAATATGTCCGGATGACGTTTCTGCTCTCATAGCAGCAACAGCCGTCCAAAAGACTCCGGGTCCGAAACATCGTGGACCCGAATCATAGGTCACCGTATAAGAGGCTAAGATTTAGCAGGACTTTGCTTGAACAATATTAGGGATTAGCTCCCACGACTAGCGGTAGATTATCGCCCTTTTCCACGGCATACGGGGGCGTCCCAGGACACCTCTATGATCGTCGATCGATCACAGATTTGGGCGAGTCGGCAGACGTGCATAGTAGGTACTAAAGCCTCGATGAAGTGTTCCGCCCTTGCTACGCCGCAGGTTGCATTGTTCATGGAATTGGCACTATATGTGCATCATCCCAATTACGAGGGGTCTTCAGCGGACGTCTACAGGATATTGGGCAGAGTCAGAGGGATTCCTCAGTGTTGACGTTTGGCCCGGTTGTGACGAGAAACTGTTTTGGATCGGTATTATTAGCGTCGGACTTGATCAGCGTTATACCGGGTTTCTTTCAGACATGCGTTGGTAGAACCAGAGCCACAACATGAGAACACCTTTCGCACGCATAACATCTCTTATTAGCAGGAAAAACCCTACGGTGGACATATAAACCAATCATTTTAAATATGAATAAAAAGTCCGGGTCCTCACAGGCCGCCTACCGATAAGAAAACAGCCTACTGAGTACGCTTGTATCGGCAAACTGTGTCGCCGGTGGTCAGTACCGCGAACTCTTTGCCGCCAGATGATCGTATTTAGACACGCTATAAAGGAGTAGTCTAACGTATCGTCATAGGGGGTCTTACGAAGCGTCTGGGTTTTCGCCCGCATTGGTTGTCGAATAGGAAAACGACTGTCTACCATAGTCGAACGTGCCGGTCATCACAGACTTATTTCAATATCCCCAGCAGCCGAGCATAGCAATAAATAAGCCACGCAGTTTTGGTCAGAGGCAAGCCGAATGTAGATAGTCGATCTACATCCACTACTCATTTATTGAATCTAATTCACGGTTAACTTTGGTCGTTGCGCTAGGAGCAACATATAAGGCCCCAAGGCAACTCGGATCGGGGGCTAACGAAGACTGTCAAATCGACATCGCGTTTAATTGGGCAATTAGGCTAATAGTCTAGAGGAATAGAAGTGCTATGAAAAAATAATGTTCCGTGTTTACCATTACTCGGAGAGCATCACCGAAGCCTTGTAGGGTACAGGTGTCATCCGCCGATGGCTGGAGAGCTCTCGAAGTCAGCCCACAATCACGCAACCTCACCGCACTACCTGCAGCTGTATTTATGATAGAAGGCAATTATGAATTGATTAGATCGGGCTTGAGGGGACGGTGCTCTAGGGGACTTCACTGTCCACTGTACATGGTCAGGCCCACGGTGTGGCAAAAACCTAACATGTAGAGGGGATTTCCCCGCAATTTCCCTCCAAGGATCAGATGAGTAACTGGGACCCCGCGGGTTTAGGTAATCAGGGGATACATAGTGATGACTTTTCAGGCGCGCGTATCGACAATTCTTGGTTGGCTTGCTCCAAGATAGTCCCCCACGGCCTGTTGGCATATTAGTGCGCACCTAATAGGGGTTTGTCTGAGCTCAAGAGATACGCAACGTGCTAATGTGAAGTAATCCGACCGTCCCCAAAGGGATTTTCTTACAAGTCGGTGACCGCCTTAGGCCCGGGTTTACTGCCGTGTACCGCTTTTAACCAACATATCATCCTATACTGAACCTGTTATTAAGGCCAAATAGGCACGTAATCCGACTAATGCTTGCACTACTCCTTTTATCGGTTCATGTTTTAACAGGTTGAAGTAGTCTGGGCTACTTTGCGCGAAAATCGTGCAAAGGTCAAGGAACTAACCGAGGTATATGGTGACTTGGAGACGCACCTGAGCTCATTGGTAAGGGTTGACCCTATAATGTTGTCATGCAGGCTAACATCTGCCAGGTCCAGAATACATGAGTGCAGGGGCCAGTGTCGTTAGGACTGTTGGGAACTTGGGATGACCTGCTACGCGCAAACTTTCTGAATAGGTTACGCTTGAGAAAAGCATTTAGATGAGGGGCATCAAAACGTTAGTCGCCGAGCGTAGCCTACGGCGCAAATATTTTGGCACGAATAACAGTGGACTCATTCTACAATATAGTTTTCAGAGGCGCTGCATGGGGCTCGCAAGTGGCGGTCCTCGGTTGTCTAAGCAGTTCGGCGACGGAACTCATTCGAGGCCCGTATGGATTCACCGTTAGCCCCGGCTTACATTCCGATGTGAAATACGGGCCCGTTTTGTCTGCACCCATCTCCCATTCGGGTTCTCCGCTCGGCCTACCTTAAGCCATGGTTATACTACTTAGTGAGCAGCTAATGATCGCCCTAGTAAGGCCTAGTCTGGATTGAGAACGATACGACTAATGCATCTATGATGCAAAGTACATAACCGTCTCTACGGCCCCCCTGCGAAGTTCTTGGCTCTATCACCACTTGCTCAAGACGATGCATCTTCCTCAATAGTGGTACCGTGATCGTCGCGTGGTATATAATAAGGAGATAACTAGGCATTGTGTTGCGCATTTCGTGCAGGCTCTAAGGACGCCCCCGATACTGTATTGTACAGATCGGATAGTCGGCCTAGGTCAAAATGGGAGAGAGTCCCCCTGAGCATCGCTCCTCCCCGTATTGGTTTACATTAGCGGTTGACGGCAGCTAGTGTTACATCATCACGTGCACTAATCTTGGGCCAAAAACCCATTAACGTCAGTTTATCTGTATCTCGTTAAGTCCGATTCCTCCCGCTTGCTACTGTTCTTCTGGACCTTGCATGCCGTGAGCTAGTGAGTTCCGCGCGTGCTACGTAGTTGAACGGATCTAGTTAGCACCTGCTTCAATTGAGCCCAGCTAAAGCCCAGGGTACGGAGACATTCACGAGGTGCACACTTGAATAGTTACAAGCCCTACATGGCCACAAGTCTATTAAACATAGACCTACCGAGGTACTGTAGGCCTCTCCAAAATGAACTACTGACATTTTGATGGAAGAACAGCCCGCCTCCTACATAGCGGCTCGTTGAGTTTTCCCGTCGGCGGGTCAATGCAGTCTCGTTGGGAACAAGTTTCGCTACAGCGGTACCAAGTAGATAGGTTCCGCCTGACCCGTACTTAAGTTGCAGGATCAGTATTGAGCTCTGCAAACCGCCACCTTTACCTTCGTCCGAGATAGCTGTGAATAGTGACTCTGCCTGGGCTGGTGTCTAGTTCTCGCAGTCATGAACATGTAGCATACTTCGGATTGGCGTGCTGGTGATTCCGGTACAACCAAGAGCCTAGAACTCATAAAAGTGGTACCACCATCAGCTCAGACACGTTCGGCTGCATATCGGGGATTGGTCCTTCGTGCGGTATCTGCCAATGGGTGAAAGCAGGGTTGGCCAGGCGGTGGACAGTTCCATTCACGTGACAAGTTTTATCCAGTGACTAGGATGGCGCGCAGCGGATGACATCGAGCAAGAACAACTTCTTCCTAGGCGTGGCGAACTGTTGGGGCTTAAGAGGCCTTGAGTCCCAGTGTGCATATGGTCTACACGTTGGAATCAACAAACCGACTAGCCAGGTGTATCTGAGACCTGACTGGACCCGACCGAAAAAGTATCGTGAAACTAGCCCGAGTGATTCACAGGTGTCGAGACCAGCCTGGTCATTAGCTGCTGAACATACC